ATATATATATATATATATATATATATATATATATATATAAATTTAATATATGGTTTTATGTATGTATTATTTAATCTTATACATACATAAATATATATCAAATATATATTCATTTTTAGTGAGCCAAGGGGATTAATAATCTGTAATTTCCTGATTACTTATGAAGAGGCTATTTTTCTTTACTGTTAAAATTTGACTGAATTTTGTTAAGACAAAGTGTTTATTATGGCAGGGAATCACTTGTTTGTTAAGAATATTTGAGGTGTGATGATTTTATTACATGTAATCATTTATTTCCAGAAGACTTTGAAACATTCGTTTATGGAAAGATCAATATATGTTGGAATGGGATAGATTTTAGATGACTAGTCCACAGGTTCAGAGTTTAATTTGTATACACTTAAATCATTTTGTAAGCAATGATTTATCCATTAGCATGCATTAATGCAATTTACTGCTCCAAGGGCAAGGGGTAATCACTTCAGCAATCATATTAGCCATGCCATGGTTGCCACTCTTTGGTAACACCATCTCTGTGCAAACCAAAGAAATGAGAAATGTATGAATTTCAGGAAGACATTTGGTTTTTAACCAATCAGGAGTAAATATGTAATCTTTCCTAGTTAATTCCTTGAAAGACTCAACCAAAACAGAATTTCCTCGAAATTCTTCCATCTCAGATCTGTCACTGGCGGCCTGTCCACCTCTTCTTCCATAAACTGAATTCCTCCCCTGTCTACTTCCATAGTTATAGTAATCTGTTGACATAGGCCCTGAAATGCTCTGAAGCAGTTGGAAAGGGTGAAGTTGTTGTATTGACCATTAAAGTCTCCTTATCAACTTCCTCCTCTTATCTGCTATGATAAGCAAGACTTAGTTTTGTTCCCAAAGACATAGGAGCATATGACAGAGGAAGGATGGTTCTTATCTCCTGGGTCATTTTCATAAAGAAAACTACATGCCTGTGAAGCTTGATCTGCTGCCGCAGATATGTAGATATATTATTTTTCCATAGGTGTCTATGGAGATTTCAGTCCGTAATATCTGAATACATGATTTGACTAAATTTTTATCTCATAGATTTCTATTTGAAAAAAAATTGGAAGATTGGAATATTCCTTCTACCAAGTCAAACTTTGAGTTCAAGTCAAACTTTGGGTTCATTTGGATTCATGAAACTTTTAGGTTCATTCATAGAGGGATCTAGGTGTTGTGGTGGGCCACCACTTAAATGTGAATCAGCTTCCAAAAAAAGCCAATGCAGTCCTAGGCTGCATTAACAGAGGGATAGCATCTGGATCACAGGAAGTAATAATACTGGTCTAGACTGCACTAATAAAGTCACACTTGGAATTCTGTATCCAGTTCTGGTCACTATGATACAAAAAAGAGGCCCTTGAAAGAATGCAGAGAAGAGCAACAAAGATGATATGGATCTTGAAGCTAAACCATATGAGAAACAGCTAAGGGAAGTAAGTACAATACATAGGTAAATGATAGATAGGTAGATAGGTAGATAGGTAGGTAGATAGATAGATAGATAGATAGATAGTCAGTCAGTCAGACAGACAGACAGACAGACAGACAGACAACTTTATTGACCAAGTGTGATTAGACACACAAATAATTTGTCTCCAGTGCATATGCTCTCAGTGTACATGCAAAACAACAAATAGTAGTAATCATATTATCAAAGCAATAATAATTATAATGACAATACCAATAAAATGGTAGTGGAACAGATGGAAAGGATAAAAGTAATACAGACATACCACTTGGGTAAATATACTTAGACATAAGACAGCACTGTGGGAATTAGGTGTTCAGCAGTGATGGCACGGGGAAAGAAAACTGTCTCTGTGTCTAGTTGTTTTGGGATGCAATACCGTATACTGGAGTTGAAACAATGTATGACCAGGATGTGATGGATGTAGCCTAATTTAGCCTAATGAAAAGAAGGCTTAGGGATGCTGTCTTCCATTACTTGACTGACTGTCACAGAGAAGAGGGGGTCAATTTATTCTCCAAAAGCACCTGAGGGCAGGACAAGAAGCAAGAGGGATACCCAACCTGGAATTAAGGAGAAATTTCTTAACAATGAGAACAATTAGTCATTGAACATCCTCTCTCCCAGGCTTATGGATGTTCTGTTGCTGGAGCTTTTCAACAAAAGACAGGATATCCATTTGTTCAGGATGGAATAAGGGCTCCTAAAAGACCTTCAAGATACCTCCCAGCCCTATGATTCTATGTCATCTCTGTCTATGTCTTTCTATTTTTTATTCAGCATTGTTAAGCAACTTGATATTTTCCAGATATTTTAGAGGTTGCAACTTCCCTGAATCTTCCTACTGGCCATGCCAGCTATAAGGACGATAGAAGTTTCAAAACCAATCTACTATAGGTAATTTGCTAACTTTTGTCTATCTAAATTATCAGCAAATTGCCATGGCTTTAAACAGGATTGTTTTCACAACCAAACTTGGAATAAGCATAAGCTGAACTATTCTTGAAGGTATGTATCAAGCTACAATCTTGGCCTTAATACGGTTATATTAAGTAGCCCCAAAGAAACTACTGTATATATAAATTGTATTTTACATTACATTCAATAAACTTTAGGTATAATTTTACTGTCATTATAACTAGCCCATTTATTTCCTCTGTTTTGAATATATAGGCCAAGTATTGTATTTTTTTTTAAACCACACCATTATATTATACAAAATGAGGCAAATCTTTATTCCAAAAGTGGAAATAAACCCTAATCAAGGTAACGTTTCTTGTTTTCTTACTGAGGTACTTTCTTTGATTTGACAATAACAATAGATCACAACTGTTTAAAAGCCAACCACTGAGTCAACGTATTTTCTAATTTGCAAATGAATGTTCTAAGGATTTGGTTGTTATTTGCAAATCTGCTGTGGTTTAAGTGAAAAAAAATCTAAAGGAGAATTATTTATGTTAGCTGCATATGTGAGCAACAGTGATAAAAAACCCAGAAAGAAGATAAACAAATGTTATATTTAAAAGTCCAATATTGTAAATGAGAGACAGAATGTAATAATGCCTAAGATACTATGCTACCAAGAGAAGAACCTAATGTCATTTTCCCCCACAAATTGAATGTTCATATAACATTAAGTAAAGAGATATTGAAGGTACTAAACATTTTCATATAATGCATAATATATAATACTATGTTTATAGTATATATGAGAATAAAAAAGTACACCCATGCTATTAAATTTGTCACACTTTTTACTGTGGTATTATTCTATTGGTGCTTTTGGATGTATTCTATGTTTCATTACAATGCAGCATAGTAACATTCCATGAGCGTCTTTCTTAATATCT